ACATGGAACAGAGATCAGATAATCCTTCGAGTAAAAGACCCATCCCTAGAACGGTTGGACTCAAACAAGAGCTGCGCAATAGGGTCAAATCTATCACTCTGAGATTATCCAGCCTGTGCCACATGTGACTTAGCATATTCACTTAATCGCTAGCTCACATTACCAAGAGTACCAAAAAGCACAAAGCAAGCAGCATTCAGACAATGGAAAATCTAACCATCATATTACAATCAAATCATTCTATCCTCTAATCAGGAATCTGTACATGCAATTCAAAGGCTCATACAATCAGGCATAACCTAAACAGGCTATCTTATCACTGACTGGTCAGTACTAGTATGCAAGTCTACAAGCACATACAATAGGCATATAAGGCATCCTCCTAGATCCCCAACCCTAATATAGCATGTAATTCTCATAATCATATCATAACATAACATGTATGGGTATCTTGGAAAACTTACTTGAGCTCGGCTGATTGCATGCATCACACATCTTGTTCTTTTTCAAAGTTCCTTTTTCTCTTTTCAAATTCTTTTCAAAATTATCTTTAGAATGATTTTCCTTTTTAAAATTTCCATACCAAGTCCTTAGTTTGAGTCCAGATACACTCGAGAGTGTGTCCGAATCCCTCAAACCAAGGCTCTGATACCAACTTGTAACATCTTAAAATTCAAGGCCAAAAATTTCATTTTTAAATAAGTTATTATAAAACCATAAGTATAAAAACATCCATAATAACATCTCATGTTAAAACCAAAGTGCCAATAGTCAAACATGTTATCATAAAATAATATCAGAGTGTAATCCCAAAGATCTCATGTGCAGAAAAACACAGTGTGATGCGCTGCGGTCGAACCGACTCCTTTCCTTTGAAAACGAAGTACCTGAAACCAAAACTGAAAACTGTAAGCACAAGGTCAGTGAATTCCCCCATCATACCACATACCATACAAATCACCTACTGTCAGGCATACCGGGGTGCCCGACCTACCCCCTTCGGTATCTTTCAACCGATATCCGGGGACTGTTTTACCCCCTATCACTATCACATAATAACATAGCATAGCATACATAAAATATATTTTCAGGAATATCTGGGTGTCCGACCTACCCCTTCGGTATCTTCCAACCGGTAACCGGGAGCTGACCTCCCCTTCGGTATCTTTCAATCGGTAACCGAGAGCTGACCTCCCGTTCGGTATCTTTCAACCGGTAACCGGGGACTATTTCACCCCTACCACTACCACATAATAACATAACATAACGTACTGCTAGGCATGCATGGGTTCTGACTACCCCTTAGGTATCTTTCAACCGGTATCCGGGGACTATTTCACCCCTACCACTACCACATAATAACATAACATACTAGCACATAAAGCATACAGATAGTGCATACCAGATAATTATCACAAAGACAATCATCTAACAAACAACTCCTACTAGCGGGCCAGTATTGTGGCCTTAGACCCACTTCTACTGGAAGGTAACTCACCTCACACTGCTGAAGTCCCGTAGACACAATCCCAGCTGTTGGTTGACAGATTCTCGAACTGTCAATATCAAACATCACCCAATTAATAATTGGATCCCAACACAAAAATCATAAGTCCATGCTTGGGGTAAAAGACTACTTTACCCCCATCTTAGCTTGATTCAAGCTCAAGGCCCAATCCAAAGGCCCAAAGTTCAAACTGTGAATCAAAGTCCAACATATGGCCCAATTTTCCAAATTGGGCCCAAACCGTTACATGGTCTCACTCTAAGGCCAACCATTTATTCTAGTCTAACCTTTGACAGTCTAATGGTCTAATATCATATAATCATTAAGGCCCATCTATGGCCCAATTTTCCAAATTGGGCCCAAACCCTCATATGGGCCTTACCCTAAAGCCCATCTAATTATTCTAGTACATTGATTGTTCTTGGATGGCCCATTAATAGCCCAATCACCAAAGCCCAATAGAAAGGCCCAATTTAAGGCCCAAGTAAGATTAGGGTTTTACATAAAATGACAATTAGGGTTAAGTTTTTCTCACTAAACCCATTAAGGACTTAATCCATTAAGTCCATCACTCTTCTAAATAAATCATATGGTGTGATTGGGCTTAATACACAATTACCATTCCAATGGCCCAAATGTGGGTCCCGATAAGTCCAAGCCCATAAATTCAATATTAGGGTTTTCTAAACCCTAATTAGGGTTTCCAACCCCATCTTAGCCCAATAGGCCAAATAGCTAGGTCTTTTGATCAATTAGGGTTCATTAGGCCCGTTAGTCACACGTTTGGGCTTGTAGGTCAACTGGGGCTTTACTGGGCCCATTAGGGTTTCATTGGGCCCACTAGGGTTTTAGTCCCTTTGTCCAAACATTCCAAACGAGTTACAATCCAAACAAGGCACACCGCCACCTGACACGGCGGTCGGTGGTGGTTTTGACTTTCTTTCCATTATTCCATCTTTTTTTGTTACAATTTACAATGAAAATACCAAAAGTAACACACACACTAACTATCATAAACACACACACACACACAACCACCCTAGTGGTGGGTGGCGACGGCAGCAGCACCAAGAGGGGCATAACGGCGGCAACAGTGGCTAACGACGGGACAGAAGAGGAAGAAGGAGCGACTACAGTGGGGGAACGGAAGTTGCGCCTCCACCGGAACACGAAAACGGCGGCTACGAACGCTGCTCGACCGACTTCTTACTGCCACGACGTCGACTCCTCGACTTCAGCTCACGTCGATAGCAGCGGCAGTGGTCCGACTGAACGACGAAATGAGGTTGGCCCTCGCCCTTGGCCACGGCAGGAACGGTGATAGAGAACTCGTCCCGGTGGTTCTCTCCGACAACGATAAGGACTCGACTCGGCGGCAAGGCATTGGCCTAGAACGGTGACGTCTGGCGGTCTTGCTCTATCGTAAACAAGGAGGAAGGGTGGTGCAGCTGGAGCTTGACGAACGGCTGTAGGAAGGATCCGGAGATGGTGGCGCCGGCGAGGGAGGTATAAGGTGGCGGCTGTTGGGAGAGTTAGGGTTAGGGTTTTGGTAACCGGTAGTGCTAAGCTTATATACCCCGTGCCATAAAGTCTTATTGCCATAATGGCAGAAACAGTCCCTCTCTATATAATTCTTTTCAACTATGATCCAAAACTTACCATTTGAACCCTGCCTCCTGAATCCTTTACAATTGAAGTCCAAATTTTACCTTTTTAACCCCATCCAACCAAAAACCCTTCAACTTAAGTCCTCATAAATACCATGCAGCCTCTCCTCTACAATTATTTTCAAATGAGGTCCATAAGTAACTCTTTAGCCCCTTTTTTTCATAAATCCTTTCATATTAGGTCTAATACTTACTAAACATCCCTCTGTCTTCTAAAGTCTTTACAAAATAAATCTCGAATTTATACTTTGACCCATGAGTAATCCAACTTATGGCATTTGGCTTCCCAAAACCAACACCTTGCTATATAATTATAAATTTTAGGCTACGATTCATTCATTAATTTCGTCTATTTATTTATTAAATAAACGGGGTGTTACATAAGGAGGGACGTTTGATTGATGAACGTTTCAAGTTGAAGAATAAAGAGAAAACAACAACAAATGGTAAACAAGTTAGTTTTTTCGGGTGAACCCGATGTTGTTGAGGTTGATTGTATTGGAGAACTTCTTACAGTTTATTCAGATGAATTGGATTCCACTTGTGATTGGATACACAATTCTGATTGTACTTTTCATTTGTGTCACAACATAAGTTGGTTTTATACGTTTGAGAAGGTTAACCAAGGCTATGTTTTGATGGATAACAGTTCTACATGTCCAGTCGTTAAATATGATTCAGTAAGAATCTATATGTTTGATGGAGTTATCCGAACAATAGGGGATGTTAGATATATTCCTAAACTTAGAAGAAACTTGTTATTTGTTAGTTCCTTTGATAAAAAGGGATATGAGTTTATTGGTAAAGGTGAAGTTCTCGGGGTATTCAAAGATGGTTCTAACAAACTAAGAGCCAAGAGAAAAACCTCAAACCTCTATTTTCTTGATGGGAAACAATTTAAAGTGGTGTTGTTGTTTAAAAGTCTCTTTCTGATCCAGATTAGTCCCGTCTCTGGCACCTTCGACTCGTCCATATGAGTTTTCAAGGCATGTCTGAATTGAGTCGAAGAGGATTACTTGGTAAACATAAGGTTTTTGATTTGGAGTTCTGTGAAGATTGTGTATATAACAAGGGAAAACGAGTGAGATTTATGAGTGGTATTCATACAACGAAAAGACCACTTAACTATGTCCATTCAGATTTGTGGGGACCGTCTCGAGTTGCTTCGAAAAGTGGAGCTATCTATATGTTCACTATCATTGATGATTTATGTAGGAATATGTGGTCTTTCTTCTTGAAACATAAAGAAAACATTTTTTCTACCATCATAAATTGGAAAGTGCAAGTTGAAAAACAAACATGATTGGTGGTAAAGTATCTTCGCACAGATAATAGACTTGAGTTCTCCTCATAATAGTTTATTGTCTATTGCCGAAAGAAAGACATCACTCGGCATCGCACGGTAGTCCATATGCATCAACAAAATGTTGAGATTTCCAACCAGATAACACATCTTTCTTATAAGTTCTAGATTGTCGAGCGCTTCACGTCGACATTTTTGGGTTGGACCAAAGAAAAAAAAACCTTCAATAATAAATTAAATTAGAAAAGCCCTTACACATTTTTGGGTTGGGCCAAAGAAAAAAAAACACCCGGGTGGCCCATATATCTACGCAAATTGCATAGGCACATCGCACATGAGTCATGACACATTGACACCCCAAGGAAGGTTCATTAATGAAGTGTCACGCACCGACGACCGACGTCCCTGCTACTACATAAACACCCGTCTCACCCTCTTCCACTTCCATTCACATCTGTCCTTTCTATACAATCAAAACTTGGCTACGTCCCTCAAAATCAATACTCAAATTGTAACAGCGACCATGTGTGGTGGTGCTATCATCGCCGATCTCATACCTCGTCCCCGCCGCCTCAACTCCACCAACGTCTGGCCCAACTCCACCGTCTACCCTAAACTCAACCCTTTCCAATCAGAATTTAACCACTTTGAAGAAGAAGCCTCTCCTGTTCATAAACGAGCTCCATTATCTTCAGGAAACCTCTTTCATTCCTTTTTTCTTTCTTATGTTTTCTTTATGTAAAAATGCATTTTTTTTCTGAAGGGTTTATCTGTAATTGTTGTGTAGGAAGTGATATTTTGTAGTGTTCATTGTTTTCTGATGGATATTTTTTTCTCAAACAGATGATGCGCATGAAAGCAGTACTAGAAAAAGACAGAGGAAGAATTTGTACCGAGGAATCAGGCAGCGTCCATGGGGAAAATGGGCGGCTGAGATTCGTGATCCGAGGAAAGGTGTTAGGGTTTGGTTGGGTACTTTCAACACAGCGGAAGAGGCTGCTAGAGCTTACGACGCAGAAGCTCGAAAAATCCGTGGAAGAAAAGCTAAGGTTAATTTTCCCAACGAAGGAGATTCTTACAACTGTGCTTCACTTCGTAATGGTTCTTTTGTGAGTTTCTCAAACGAAGCCATTGGTTCGGGGGAAAAGGGGTTTGTTCCGGCAATGGCGAAAGAAATGGTTACGGAGAAGAAAGCGGAAGTCGTACAGGAAGTTAACGAAGTGGAGAAGCTGTCTGAGGAACTCATGGCGTACGAATCATATATGAAATTTTACGAGATGCCGTATCTCGAAGGGGAGCTGGTGGAGGTCCCGGCGAATCCAGAGGGCGGAGCTGGCGGTGGTTCTATTGAGCTCTGGAGTTTCGATGACGATGTTCTGTAACTAGCAGAACGGAACAGAACAGATTGACCTTTTCGTGTCGTAGTTGATTTACGTGTTCTTGTTTTTTAGGGCTTAAATTTGTAATTTGAAGATAATTTTGTGCTTCTTCTTTTCTTTGGATTCAAAGACAAAATTGTAATGTTGGTCGTTGGATGCTTTATTTATATTTTTCTTAATGCAAACACGTAATAATATGTTTATGTTAAGTATGTCTTGCGTTTTATTTTACTTATGTTGTTGACTTGATACTAGATACCATTGACTATATACTAGATACCATTGATGCATGAATATACTCTTCGTAATTTTTATTTAATTTCTCTTTTGAAATACTCCAACCAATATAATGAAGTAATATAAAATAAATAAAATTAACGAATATACGTTTTGGTCATAAAAAGGTTTTGGCGGGTTTAACCTTTAAACCACATGGAAAAAGAGCTCAGTTTTTCATCTGGCTATTTAGTCACATTTAATGAGGGTGATATTTTTATTTTAAATCTCAAAAAGTATAAAAAGTTAAGCTATTTAAAATAAAATAAAAAATTTAAAAAAAAAACTGTTTATATATGTGTTTTGAGATTAATTTTCACATATCTAAATTTATAATGATCAATTTTAATGATAGATAAACATATTTTATCAATTAAATTAGAACGGATTATTAAGAAGTAAAGAAAAAAAACATATGTTTAACTTTTTCTTATAGTTAAATTTATTTTTATTTCAAAGAGATATTTCATGTTTTCACACAAATGTCTCGTTAATCATTTCAAGTAAGCATTTATTAAAAACAAACAATACAAAGTTATTCTCAAAACAAATTCACAAGTCATTATTTTATATGAAAATAAAATGAGTATTGAACAAATTTTAAGAGGATTTTAATTGCTCTTGATAATGAAATCAAATATATGTAGGAAGATGGATATTCTTATCTCTTGCTCCTATTCAAAAAAGACAAATGTTAAAATAAAAAAGAGAATTACAAAAAAAAAAAGATAAATGTTAAAATAAAAAAGTGAATTAGAAAAAAATTAATAAATTTCACGTGTACTTAATTATGTGAGAGTAGAAAGATTGATATAAACAAAAAGTAAAATAATATTTAATTTCTCTTATCGATAGTTAACTTTGTTAGGTCAATGAACTCGTTAGTTTTCTTATTTTGACTAAATCTAGATTAAAAATAATATTGCTACATACATATAAAAACATTAAGGGTTAAAGTAGTTTTATTATTATTATTTAACATTGTTGATATTATTTTATTATTACAAAATAAAGATGCAAGTTGCAAGTTCTCGTTCTTAATTTTTTGTTTCGGTGGTACCTAGTTTTGAATAAAACCTGTCAACAAGAAAATGTCAATTGGGATTTAGTAAAAGATTCCTTAAGTCTTTTTTATGTAAGAATAAAGTTTAAAATTAACTAATTACGAATTTAATAAATAAGAAATATTCATGTATCAAAATATCAATATATTATCAAGTTATAAAACAAGTACATTGGATTAGAAATGTCGGATTATAATATCATACCTTATTCCAAAACAAATACAGATATTTTAAAATTTATTAATTTACTCAAATGACAATTGATATTTATTATTGTAAGAAAATTCGGGATAAAATAGCCTTGAAAATTCTGAGAATTGTGATTTCACTTTCAGATTAAAATATTTGGGTGGTACTCCCTATCTTTAATCGGATAAGACTCAGAATTGAGATCAAGAACTGAAAATATAGATGTTATGAATTTCGTGATTGTTGTTGTACCCAGAAAAAATGATAACCAAAAAGATTAAGTAGTTCATTTTTCTGAAAACTGTCAAGATAGTTTTCTTTGTCCAAAAACTACTCCAACTGTCGACCCCAGCCAGGGGCTCTGCCCCTTCGACCCCGCCAGGGGCTGCCGCCCCTTGGACCCCGCTCCCAGGGGCGCTGCCCCCGGACCCCCGTTCGTTTAGGGGTTTTGCCCCTAAATGACAGTCTACTTTGAATCTTGAATAAATTTAAACAAGTGTGCACTCCGCACCTTCCTTACTTGTTTAATATTCATCAAGATTGAATTTGGTCTACAAGTCAATCAATTACACTTAAATACATATTACACTTAAAGATGATACAAAATCACCAACAATTATAAGAAAATCTTTAACATACTTCTTAAAATTTGACTTTTAATGGACACTTTTTAGGTTTACGAAACATACGTTATATTCAATTATATGTAAAGCAAAAATTATCCGAAAATGCAGTATACGTTTTTTAGTAAGACAAATCTAAAAACAGACGTGGATCATCATTAATCTAAATACTAAATAATGTGGGGTGTGATATTTTAATAAATAATTAATGCATGGTAAGAAAAACATTATATGGAAGAGAATTACAAATAACAAAGAATTAATTATTTATTTTTTCCTATGGGTGGAGCGGGAAAGCCGGCGCCCATGGTTTTAAGCGTCTAGTAACTTTCGCTCTTCCGTGCAATGCTGGACGCCATATATGTACCAGTACTTCGACCGACCCAAAAAAACAAAAAAACTTTCTTTTTATATAAATCAAAAGAGAAAATATGATAAATTAAGCCAAATTATTAAAGTATTTGTCAAGATATAAAAAAATTAAGAAAACTTCTAAAGCCAACCCCAATATCATAAACGAATAATAGTAATTGATTATGGGAAACAAAATTGATCAAAATTGATCAAGTCTTCAAATGAAAGAGACACCGTGTACAAGTCTTATACCTAGTATGTTAACATACGTTAGACTGAAATGCTAACAAATTAACTAAGGTTAACCGGAGTGGAAGCTTTTCCACGCATGAGAATCCGACGTGGCACAACAAAAGCCACGCGAACATCGCCCCAAGGCCGGTGTTCTGGCGCTGTGACGTGAGTCCGAAGACAGGGTGACACGACCAAACGGAGATGAGTTTGACAACGGTTCATTTGACCCACAAAAATCCTACCGTTCGCAAATTAATATATATATATATATATATATATATATATATATATATATATATATATATATATATATATTTTCAATTTAAAACCTATCAACTACAACTATAAATACCTACTATTTTACTAACATTTTACACTATAAAAACACTCTCTTCTCATATATATTTTTACCTTCTACCTATGGAACCAAATCAAAATACCCCCTACTCGAAACACTCAAAATTATCAATTAGTAAATATTAGTTACATGCAATTTATAACATCTTTAGTCCAACAACTTCTATTCACCAATCTTTCATACAACTCATACTACTACCAACAACAACAACCACCACAATTCAATCAACCCCAATTTCAAGCATTTCAACAACAACCTTCTCCGCAATTTAAACCCCAAATTTCTCAACGTCAACAGTTTCACGCACAACCTTCACAATCATCTCAAGTTCCATTGTCTCAATCCCAACATATAAACCTCGAAAATGACAACGACGACGAACGGGTTGAAGAAACACCACCAAATCATAGAAGGCAAAAAAATCAAAAGATCCAAGAAAAAAGAAAGCTACGCAATGGACCGAAGAGGGGGAGGAAGCTTTAGATAAAGCTTGGATTTTCATATCACAAAACGAGGATATCAGAAACGTACAAACAGGTCAAAGTTTTTTGGAATCGTGTTTTAGACAACTTCCGCACTTTATTAGGAATGCAAACGAACGGTACACACGACTTGGTCAATGCAAAATGGCGTGACCTTTGAGTGGCTTGCATCAAATTTAACGACGTATTTGACAATCTTAAAAGTATGGATAGAAGTGGTAGCAACGATTTCAACATTTTCTCAACCGCGTTGTACCAATAAAAAATTATCAATAATAGTAAACCATTCGGCAACCAAAAAGCATGAGAAACTTGTCGTGCTGGTCCAAAATGAGTCTTTTATCCGGATACAACGCATTCGGGGTCTACCACTGGCTCCAACAAAAGGGCAAGAATTTTCGAGTTAGACATTGGTGTTAGCCTCGACCTCAATGATGAGTTCGACACCACCAAGAGGGAGGGTCCACCGGACGTCCAACTTCGTCGACCACCGGGAAGGGACAAAGAGAGAAAGGGAGGCGTCTTCAAGCGGGAAATCAACCAACGAGGATGTACTAACGAACAAAATAGACAAAACTCTAAGTTTTTTAGAAAAATCTTTTTGAATCAAAATAGGAAGCTCGTTGGTGAAAAATAGCACTCACCGATCTTCAAATTTTAAACACGGTGACACAAACGAATCTCAACCCGAAAAATTTAAGCACGTTTTTAAAAATTCAACAATAAGTTCTCGAAAAATATCGCAACTAGATTCTATGGTTTTTATGTTTTTTTAGTAATTTAGGTTTAATTTTCTATGTTTTTTTTATGTTTTTTAGTAATTTGGGTTTAATTTTCTATGTTTTTTTTAGTAATTTAGCTTTAATTTTCTTTTTTTTTAAGGTTTAATTTTCTATGTTTTTTAATTAATGTAATGTGGTTTTAATTAATGTAAAATATTTTATTATGTTTTAAATTATGTTTTTTTTATTTAATTTAATCATAAAAAAAATATTGTGGAGTGGTAACCATTTTCAGTGTCTAGTGAGTTGGTGGTGGGTTGGTAGTGGAGCTAACGTGGCGTTGAGCTGGCAGTGCTTTTCCGGTGGCTTGGCTGTGACCACTCCTCATAATCTAACTATCTAACTTGTCACTGCTACCAATCATCATAATGGTAATCATAAGGCCTAGGGGTATGGTAGGATTCTCACGCATGAAATGCGGATGTTGCATACATCTTCACTAGTGAACACCGCCCCAGGAGCTAGGTTATGATGTGGATTGGTATGCATCACAGATGATTATGGAGACTCTTATTGGCTGAGCAAAAGCTGGAGACTCTCATTGGCATGTCTCTATCTCTCTTTATGTTTCTCTCTCCTGTTCACTAGTAAACACCACCCCCAAAGCTAGTAGACATGTGGTGGAATGGATATTTGGATGA